GACTGAAATGGTCGGGCCGAAGGCCCGACCATCGCCGCCGGCAGGCCAAGCAGGCCCGGCCCCTGCCGAACGGAGTTGCCGGCGCAGCGAAGTGGAGCTGGCAACTCCGTTTGGCGGAAGGGCGGGCCTGCTTGTTTCCATATGTGAGGCTAAGTTGCGACCTGAATATCACTTCGGAAATAGATAATAAAGTTATTTTCGGAAACTGCTCTGAAAATGTGATTGAGGAGGATGTTTTTAAAATCGGAAAAGGCCCGCCTTAGCCCCACCCACATGTTAACTTGGCGAGTAGGGTGCCAGCGCGTAAAGTGTCGGAATGAGTGGGACAGTGTAAAACATGACAGTTGCCTGACTTGTGCATGCAGAAAGGTAAAAGTAGCAGACCTTTCTCCGGTGCCCCTCGCAGAGCCAAAGAACAATAGTTGAACGTCGGGCTGCTTTGGCGGCCCGACCTGGGACCCCTTTCCCGAATGGAAGAACGCGGTCAGGGCCGCGACTCCGTTGGCGGCCAGTGGGCCGCGGCGCGTGCGCTCATACACATCTAGATCGCGCTGGCTGCTCCTCCAGTCCACCATGCAGAGCGGTGGCCTGCACGTGTACTCAGCGCCGGTGGCGCGAGCTTGGTCCTGCAGCGTCTCGCCCACCGGCAGGTCGGCGACTATGGGGATGTTCGCCTCCTGGAATAGGTTTCGAAAATGATCTAGAAGCAGCAAATCAATTTCCCTAGAAGCAGAGAACTGACGTACGACTGTCGGACAACAGTAGAAACTAGGTAGATGTACGCCAGACCACGTCTCAAGTAACAGGCTTCGCGATATCTCACGAAACACTGTTACGCGCCTGGCATACATCTACCTAGGCCTGCGGCGCTGACACCCGAGTCGGGCAAAAGAAAGAGACGTAAATAGACCTTCGGCCCCAAAAGTCACAATTAGCTCCCCAGGGTTTTATTTTGACGAGTTGACCCTTCAGAGACCATGAAATATTTGAGAAAAAACATTGAAATGGTTTGGGGTCATTTCCGTGTGGAAAACAGTGTCTGGCGCCTCAACAGTTAGAGATGGAGCCAAACGGACGAAATTTTCGCCCTTAGGGCTCTACTCTGATGAGTTTCCCCTTGGGAAACATTTTAAAAAAATATCTTTAAAAAACGTCATTTTTGGGGACCTGTGGTTTTTGATTTTTTTAGAATCCAATTTTTGAGCTAGAATGCTCTACTTTGAACGTCATCTGTCTTTTTATGATACAAAACGACCCTGAAAATCCCAGGTCGCTAGCTCAATTCGTTCTCGAGTTATCGTGATGACAGACAGACACACAGACAGACGCGAAACTTTTTGATCATCACTGGAGTAATAGGCTTCGCTAATCGCTCAGCCAATAAAGAGACGGAATGTCCGTGCAATAAACGAAATGAGAAGAAAGAGAACAAGCAGGCCCGCCCTTCCGCCAAACGAAGTTGCCAGCTCCGCTTCGCTCCGCCGGCAACTCCATTCGGCAGGGGCCGGGCCTGCTTGGCCTGCCGGCGGCGATGGTCGGGCCTGCGGCCCGACCGTTTCTGTCACGCGATTTTCTGAAGAACATGATCAAATGATGCAGCGGGCCTTCGGCCCGCTGAAACATGTCGTTTGCCCCGAGGACTCGAGAAAGGGATGAAACGGTGAAGCACAGCGACTACAACCCACCCTTCTGCTTAGAAAACGTTTTTTGGGGGTGGGGGCGGAGTTTCCTTTATATTTTGCGGTTTTTAGGCCTTTTTCTACAACTTATTGTTCACTATGGCAATTTTAAGCTCATTTCCGTCAAAAAAGACCCTCTAGCGCCTAAACGGTTAGAGATAGAGCAAAACGGACGAAATTTTCGCCCAAAGGGCTCTTTTTTCTCAAGTTAATATTACCCCTTAGGAGACCATAAAAAAAATAGGTTTCCCAACTTTTTTGGCCTTTCCTGTTTTCTTCGATACCCCCTTTCAGCTCCTTAGGGGTGGCTGGCAGGATTTGCCGTAGGCGTTTTGTTTTGTGGGAGTGAACCTTAAGATCTCCTGAAAATTTTAAGTCTCTAGCACATCTCCTTCTTGTGGAACAGACAGACACACAGACAGACACACAGACACGAGGTCGTTTGCATCAGCCCGCTAGATAGGCGAGCGCTACCACTCCCCCACCCTTGTCAGAGTGCGATGGATCAAGTGTGTCTCAGAGATGTCTCCAGCGAGTCTGCGCAGCGTCGCTACGTGCGGGACCGGTGCAGCCGGTGACACACGTCCTTCTATCATTCCGCTCTGGCCAAGCAGTTAGCGAGACAGACTCTCAACTGGTAGGTCGGAGGTTCACTTCTCACCAGCGTCCATATGTGGGCGCGCAGCATTTATCAACATTCGGTGAAAGAGTGTCTCAATGATGGTTTGAGTTTGTCTCAACCATCTCAGCCACAGTTCCCCGTTTTGTCTCCACGATAGCTTTAGCATGGATCAGTCATGGCACAGGAAAGGCTACTTTTCGAGACAAAGTAGCCATCTTGGCACCTCTGTGGATCCACGATGGAGCCAACGAAAGCAGCTCTGGGAGGGCTCGGCTTTGGATCAGAAGTAACTCAACGCTGACGAAAAGTGGACTCGATTGACGTTCCAAACTGACAATAGGCTAGCTCAGCGATGTCTCGAGAGTGTATGAGTAAGATCCACCTATGAGGCAAATTCATTTCGTACGGGTATCCAAGGTTCAAAAATTCTCCCAAAAAGTATTTTTTAATTATTTTTTTTTTCATGTTGCCCTAATGGGTAACTCGTCGAAGTAGAGCCATTGGGTCTTTTGGACGATAATAAGCTGAAAATTGATGTAATGAACAAGAAGTTGTAGAAAAAGGCCTAAAAACCGCAGAATAGGAAAGAATCTCCCCCCTCCAACCCCCCAAAAAACTTTTTCTATGCGGAAGGGTAGGTTGTAGTCGCGGTGTTTCACTGTTACATCTCTTTCTCATGTCTCCGGGGCAAATTTTTAAGACGACGGGTTTTAGCGGGCCGAAGGCCCGTTACATCATTTGATTATGTTCTTCAGCAAATTGCGTGATAGAAACGGTCGGGTCGCAGGCCCGACTATCGCTGCCGGCAGGCCAAGCAGGCCCGGCCCCTGCCGAACGGAGTTGGCGGCGCAGCGAAGCGGAGCTGGCCACTCCGTTTGGCGGAAGGGCGGGCCTGCTTGTTTTCTTAGGGCAAAAATCTTTATCGGTCAGCTATCGTAAAGAAATCGAAAAAAGAAAAAATTTGATAGACCAGCAACAATCTTGTGGCTGTGGAAAAGCTATTACTATTTACTTATGAAAAAAAAAGCCCTTGATGGTTTGACTCTGTGGCGGCCATTTTGATACTCTTCCTAACTACTCTCTATCTGCAAGGAGTTTTGTAAAAGTCACGAAAAAAAGATTTCCTCTGCCAGCTTATACATTCGCTGGTATTTGGGACAGTCTGGGTGAAAAAAAAAAGCTGATCCGATGAAGCGGTCAGGTAAATTCAGCTGAAACTCAACTTCTTTAGCTTTTGAACAGCTCAACGCAGTTCCGCTTCTGTTAACATCAGCTACAAGTAGCTGAACATCAGTAAAAACCAGTTAACTGGGCCGGGCCCTCGGATCACCTCTTTTATTCACCCGGGGATAACGTAATAAGTTTCTGGAATTGCTGTACAGGCTATTCTAACCGATTATTATTGTACCGTCAATTGAGTGTAGGTCCATTATTTTCTCTGATGGATATGCAGATGGTAGGAACATTGTTGGCTCCCAGAGTCAATAATCGACTGCTACAGTCAATAATCGGTTATAATAGCTCACGTGGATATTCCAGAAAATTATTCGGTTACCTTTCCAAATTCAAGCGAATGTATTACGACGCGTCCGTGAAAAGCATATCTCTTTCGCTTCCCCAAAAGACTAGCCTATATGGTTGCACGTATGGATCGATTAGCTGGTGGAGCGAATCCGCTTCGGTTGTTTTTGTTTTTTTCGTGAAGGAATGCAAATTTCGAGTTTCTTTTAACACAAATATTACTTTGTTGTTGTTGTTTTGTTTTTTTTTGGGGGGGGGGGGGAATTTCAGACAAGTATCAATTTTAAGCGATTAAGTCAATGTTTTAGAAGTTTCGGGTAAACGACAGCCCTCTCCTACTATTTCCCCCGAGGGGTCCCCCACTCGTCAACTCGTTGTACACTTAGCCGCGCCCAACTCGCGCCTAACTCGCGTTCAACTCGCGACAACTCGCGTTCAACTCGCGACAACTCGCGAAAACTCACGATAACTCGCGAAAACTCTCGTGAAAATCGCGAAAACTCGCGCCAAAATCGCGCAAAACTCTCTAAAAATTGATCCCAACTCGCGCCCTACTCGCGGCAACTCGCCAACTCAGCAACTCGTTGTACACCTATTTTGGAAGTGGGGGACCCCTCGATTTCCCCTTCCAGGTTGTTTAGTTTTCTGTGATGACAATACCAACCTGTAAGTGTTTTGAAGGCCCGATTCCGGACAACATGAGAAGATGCGGCGTATACAATGAACCAGCTGTCAAAACAACCTCCTTCCTTGCTCTTGCAAAATGATCCTGTTGTAACAGCCGGTGTGGCAGAGGAGAGTGATGAGCTCACACAGATAACTTTTACACTTCCAATCAAAATTACCGGCGCACTTTTTTGATTTTGCATATTTTCGAAGTTTCTCGAGTTACAAAGCTTGGCTTTGGCAGCAAGGTGTCTTTTAAAATTCCTCTTGAGTATCCCCAATTTGTATTTAGCCCAAATGCAAACTGACATGCCTTAACACGGAAAAAACGTCAGCTTGGTTTTCAAGCTGAGAATACCAGTTTTTAAGCCGATCGGGTAAAAACAAGCAACCCTCATTTGGAGGCTTGAAAACCAGTACGTTTTCCAAGTAGCCCCGCTTGAAATCCCCCAGTTCGGTTTGTAATTCAAGACGGTCGGTCCCGCCTGCTTGGATTTCGGGACGGCGGCTTGGATCTGATTCCCTCTGCTTGGAATTCAGGCTGCGTCGCGGAACCGCCATGATTTGAACCGACGGAGTTTCGCACTTGTGTACGCTAAGTAGTCGAACAGTAGCGCGCTCTGTGTTCTACGCCAAACTACACACTGCTCAAAAAAGCAAGGAGGAGGAGGA